GCTTCCACTGAGACCATTTCTGCTGAGGCTTGATGATGATGAGCAGTCGATGGATGAGCTGAAGGTCCAGTTCCGTTCCACCAAGACGCTCCATCGGAGCTGTGACTGCCTTCAGTTGAAAAAATATAAAATAAAAAAATAAGGACCAAGTGAAAGAGGAAGTAAACGTCAGGTTTCTGACTCAGACAGAAATTGGAGCGTAAAGAGGAACATGTGTTTGACGTTTTCTCCAACAAGATCAAATTCAAAATGAAAATCCTCCATGGACTGAATATTGTTGACTCTTTAATGATACACAGTGATTTTGGACCACTGTGTTTTTTTTACTTACAAATCACCAAAGCTGTAAAATGATGCCTTCTGTAAATAAGAAATATTGCAAAAGCGAACTCTGTTTCACCTCAAGTGGCTCTTCAAAGCCATCCATCGTTTCTCAGCTGCACATGTCTGAATCTGTAGTTATTTCTCTAATGTGTCCACAGCAACATAAGAGCTCTGGCTACTGATCTAATGAAGTATAATCATAATAACATAAATGTTTTTGTTTCTTTCCATAAACTGGACATGTAGCATTTTGCAACCTACCACACATTATGCTTGATTTATTAAAATGTTCAGTGATCATAGAGGCTGAAACTTCCAAATGAACAAGATGGGTGCCAGACAGAGCGAGCCAGAGCCAGAGCAAGCGAGAGACTCCGCTGGTTCAGGTGTCTTTATATACACTGGGACTGGCCTTCTCAGGTGTGCTGCATCTATAATTGGGTCAGCTCCACCTACCTGCAAGAAACAGGTAACAGAAAAAGCAAAACCCAAGGCCAGCCCACTGGTTTCTTCAGCCTCCACAGCACAACCAACTACACAGAGTTTTACCCCGATCATCTCCACACCATCTTCATCAATTTATCCTAAATCTAGGAGCAGGAGGTGGGTTGCAAAGCAGCTTGTGGGTGTGAAACATGTGCTGACATGGTAAAGCAACAAACACTGTGCACGCTTTATGAAATTTCCCGTCTGGATGCAGACAGGTGAAATTTGATAAGGAAGTATTAACTTTCACAGCTTAAAGTCCACCTGACAACGACACAGAGTCACAGTTTCACTCCAGGATTCTCCAAACCTGCATCAGATTGACTCCTTCTTACCTCTCTGTGTGTGTGTGTGTGTGTGTGCATAAGTTCATGACCCCATCACTAAACACTCACTAAACAGTTTCACTATGAGTTTTTTGTGTCATTCACTAGTTTCGGTTCTTATTCTTAGTCCCTGTGTCAGTGTTAACGAGAGTTTAACCTCAGTCCTCCTGCAGTGACACTCTGTAACCCTGCTGCTGAAGCAGAAGTAGTGTTCATTCAGTCCACAATCCAATGAGAACCATAGATCAAGCGATTTCCCCATCTGCACACATGAATGTACCTGCTTGTTATTAGTAGAAACGGTGGTGACAAAAAATGAAACTTGTGTAACTACAAGCCTACTCTGACCTGTCCAAGTTGGAAAAGAAATGCCTTAAACAGGTATAATGCTGTGTAATTCAGTGACATAGTTGCCCTCATGCAAA